CTTCAACACCCTTAACAATCTAAAAACCATAAATAAACTAGCAGCATGGATGCATAAAGACTTAGTACGGAACATACAGGAATAGTTTACCCTTAGAAATAGGACGTGTCACTTTATTGTAACCTTCAAACGCTTGCTATATAAACTGTTTTATCCCAAAGTCTATCCCTACCAGAACTCATTACTTACTTCTAAAACGCATCAGTCATTAGAACACTAAAACGCTCAGACTCATTAATACACATCATGACACTAAATAGACTCTAAGACTTCGCATAAATTCGTAAAAAAAACTATAACTAAAAATAATTTCTTAATAATTTATTATATAATTGACATAAACAATTATACATATACATTAATGTCCTTTTAATGTTCACATACTTTCTCTTTTTGGTACTCTGATACTCCTATTCATCTTCTGGTCGAGGTCGAACAACCCTGCATCTAAACTGAAATGAGGATTAATTCCAAACCATCTATCTCATAACCACTGAAATTCCATGAACGATCCAATTCTACCATTTGAAGACGCTGGCGAACATGCTGTAAATGAGTATTCATGATCTGAAATGAAGAAGCAACTGGTTTTCAAACAGTTTTCAACATTTTTCTGAACTTACGAATGCAGTCCGCCATGCAGACACAAATGGAGCAAATGGAGAATTCTGGAACCGACCTCAGCACCATTTGATGCAGTAAAACAACTACACATGACCTCATCTAGTTTTCGCATCCACGATCAAATTTCTTTCCTGTTATAAAACTACGATAAGACTACTGAAAAAATAGAATAAATATATCACTGATCTCAACATAATACATCAATAAACTTTGATCCGAGGGTGCTGTTCACAACAAAGTTATGTAAAAGGATTGACTTCAAGCTTTTTTTCCCAGATATTTGTATTACATTCATCTGATGTCTGGGTTTTTTTTAATGCGAAGACAATATTTCTATATCTCTTTATGTGCTACACAAACAAACTTTATAGCAGACTGTTCCGTCTGACTCTAATGTCAGAAAGAACAACCAAACTGTAAATTCATCATACATCAATTTGTGTAATTTATATAATAACTTATCCATGCCTGTACAATTGGTATGTTCCTGCATAAACAGGAAGAAATATATTATATTATATGAAGTGAACTGTGAACCAGTGAGCAAGTTCAGTGATAAGCTAAATGTAAACTCCAGGCCTTACTCCGAATTGTGTGACGATAACGGTGCGGTCAGGAAGTCTGTAGTTGCAACTGGTAAGCCGTTGTTGAATAGAGTGTCACAGAATAGAGTTACTGCTTCAGATTGGAGTTCTGACTCCACAAGTTTACAAAGTATATCTAGTCAGAATGAAGTTATAAAACCTTTAATGATTTTTGAGGAGGAACCAAAATTATCTACTTCTGTTATTAAAGAGTTTGAAAATGATGAACTTGACGGTAAATTGAACATTTGTGGTAATGATCTTGATAGTGCAGATTTGTCTTTGGTTGATCATTATGAGATGAGGGATATGCCTACTTCTGCTAAGTTAAATAAAGGTTCTGTACAACTACAACGTGAAGTAGAATTGAACGCAGATGCAGTTCCAGAAGGTGTGCATACTTGTGAGACAGTCAGTGTAATTGATCAGCATGTAGCCCACCTATCATCAGATGATAGTGCTAAACCTGAACTAGTAGTGAAAGACAGCAGTGGTGGTAATCTTGCAGTTGGACAACTACCTGAAAGCCGAAATAGAACAGCTTCTGATCCACCGCTAAGTTCATCACCTTGTGTCACTCAGTCATCGTTGGTGTTTTCATCCACAATGAAACAGATGCCCATCAACTCAAGTATCTTGTGCAATGACTATGATAGTATCAGTTCGTTTGAAAGGACGAATATCAATGGTCAGTTTAGTGTGGATAAGCCAAGTGTAAACGAGAGAGTAATTGTTAAATTGACTTGCACAAATAAAGGCATTTCTAGTTTCAAGTTACTATTTGAATGTTATTATCTTTGGTGTAAATTACTCTGTTTCTACACTTGGTTGATGAGATATGTTGTGTGTTTGTTGGTCATCTATATTCTACGATACAATGACATGAGCGTGTTGCCGTTCAGATTTGAGGATATAGCTGATAGAAGGAAGTTAGCAAATGAACTCTGCGACGATTTTCCAACCTAGGGCGTCAACCTGAGAGGGTTTGTAGGCGTACTGCTGTAAGTCCTACAATTCTTCAAAGGGTAGCGCATCAATGAGCAGTCCAATGTGCTTGGTGTATGATCTTGTACATATGTTCATATTGTATATACTGAATTGATATCATCTGTCATCTAGCTGTTGGTAATTCTGTTTGTGTCCGGATGACTTCCACTTGGATCATCAACCTGAGAAGGAATGTAGGCGTACTGCTGTAAGTCCTACGGTTCTTCAAGGGTAGTTTGTCGTGTCAGAATCCACAACATTTGATGTGTTGATTGTACATATGTTTGTGTTAAATAGTTGTGTGAGTTCCAATTGATGTAATTGTTGGTTAATCTTGTTTGTGTCTGGACATTCCACAAATTACAATCGTCAACCTGTGAAGGGTTGTAGGCGTACTGGTGTAAGTCCTGCAATTCTTCAAAGGAATTCCATCAAGATGTGATCCGCGAGTTTGTGTGTACTGTTTGTATATATGTGTGGTGTGTCATATCAATTGGTGTATTTTGGATTCATTGTGTTTACTCGTTGTTTTCGTATCTTGTTGTTACTACATAATTTTGTTAAAATTTTCGTCGTGATTACTTCTGAAGTTGTTTCGAGTCTTCTACATCTGTGAATGAATTGATTGATTTTAGAGACAGCAGATGGGTCGTATACGCCGGGGAGGCTAGGCTATTGCTGAGAATGAAATGCACACGGAGATAATTGTTAGCTGCGGTCCGACACGCCGGGGAGAAAGAGTGTAAACGACTGAGGCTCGCATGCGTCACCGCTACTAGAACTGAGGCAGAATGAATGACAAGCGATTTCAGTGGTAATTGGTAATGAGTAGATAAGAGGATGTGCGTAGAGTATCATGAGTTGGTGCTATGGTCACGTTGAATTCTGCAAGAGTCATTCTAGCAAGTGGAGACTGTGTTGCAAGATGTCAAGAGGAGGTCTCTATCTGGAGGCGCAGGTCGTCATTGATGTGTGAGATTGTGCTGTGGGTATGCTTGTGGTGTGTTGGCTTTTCTGTTTGTTTTCCGTTTCAGCTCTGTCCGTGTGACCCAGGTTCTCGCAATGGTATCCAAGTCGACGTGCATTGGTCGTGAAGGAAAAAAGGGTTGGATCCCTTTTTTGCCGGGGAGTGTCAATGGAGTTGAAGATTGAACGAACAATTCTTGGTTGTTTGCTCAAAATCAACTTCCTCGATTTTCGCGGAAGCATCAATACGACAGTCATCGTCTCATCGGTCGCTGTTCAGAAAGAAGATTGAAACATTGTCAGAAGTAATACAGAAATTTATTATTGTAATATTTGTTTTCAGACCTTAGTTTTCTTAGTTTGCTTAGTGATACTTGATTTATATGCTGGTGTAACAATACATAATACTCAAGTCAACAATTGGTGTTCTGGCTTTTTCGTCCGTTGTTACTAAGCGTTTCTCAGAAATCTTCTAAGAACAGCGTGGGCCCGAGCGTAGCGAGAGCTGGGCATTAACGGTTTATGAGACTTTGCTGACATACGTTATCGCGTTTTAAATTTACCGCGCCTCAGATTTTCTCGTCTACCATTGGCCAGAACAGTGGCGGTCAGTTGGTTTTTTGATTAGTCACAAGTAGGTGCTATCGTGTGCAGCTGCGAGTGCATTTGGGAGACATTAAAATGCCAGGACCTTATAAATTGCTTACGGTGACGACCCACTTCACATAACAGTTTGTGGCTACGTTCACATGGAGAGGATAAATCAGCAATGGAGCTATCGCATAGTAGTGAGCCAACTTTGTGGAGGGGTGGGTATATACGTTGTCTCGTGTTATATTTTCCGCGACTAATTTTCTTTTGTCTTTCATTGGCTAGAATGGTGGCGGTCAATTGGAGTTTGAATTGTCCTTGGGTGCGTGGTGTCGGGTGCTATATTTGCGTGGTTGTGTTTGCGTCGTTTGCCAGCATATGTGATTGCTGTAAACGTGTAGTAAACTATTGTAACGCTTTGTTTTTCTTTGTTTGTGCATGTACTAGGCATTATTTGTCGTACAATTCGTTGTTTGGTCTATTGGTTGCTTGCGATGTCAACGAACCGGTGGGTTCTTGTGTTTTTCTGTAATTTAGGTTATACGTGCGGTATTTTCTTGGTGGTTATCGATCATCCCTGTATTTCAATGTTGTTTTTTTACGATTTATGTTGGAATAGTTGTGACATAGATGGATCCTAATTGATAACTTTATTTTAGTCCGTTGCAGGTAGTCAATTCGAGTGACAGGAGCACAGATTTAAGTGGAATTTTTGCTGAATACATACTTGGAAAGCGTTTCTTCAGCTGGGATGAATTTGAGAAGTCATTAGCAGAATTTCAAAAAGTGAGGAAGTCATATAATGCTAAAAGTGTAGTTATCCTACACTCACTATGTTCATAATTGCAGCAAAACGATGCCGGATGCCAGGTTAAAGTACGCTTATGTTGGTTTTAAATGCACTTTTGGAGTGAATCGTACAAGACCTGGATTGAAATTAAAAAACAAGTCGTAAGAAGAAGTGTAATATGATTTCATGAATATTGCAGGTCTAAATGTTGCAATTGCTCGTCTTCATTTCGCGTGGTTTTGCATTATAGTGAATACATAATTGCTTCCCACAATATGGTGCATAACCATCCATGCAGCAGGGTGTACATGCAGAATGACCCATGGTATAGACGACTAACAGTTGAAGAGAAAGAAAATATTGAACCACTTCTTCAGCAATCTCACTCATCCGATGAAATAATAATGCATGTTAAGGAGAAGTACAACAAGGATATAACTCGCATTGACGTTAAAAATATGAAAGCCGCAGTGAATAAAGGTAACGTTGACGTACTTGTTACATACTTAAGGTATTTCGAGTCGTCGTGACATTTTTGAATTCCTAAAATCCCGTGGGAAGTTAATGGAGTATTATTCCGATGAACCGATCAGGAATTCACTAACAAGAATTTGTTTTGCAACTTATGAGCAAATGGAATTGTATAAACAGTTCCCTGAAGTTGTTGGTATCGACTCGACGTATAATACGAATAAGGGGAAGTAAGTTTACCAATTCATTAGTCAACGTGCAGGTATTCTTTGTTCCAGCTACTTGTGACGGATAATTTTGGTCGTGGACGACCAGTTTTATTTGCGTGGACTAGAAAATAATTCAAACGAGATGTAGTTTGGATATTAGACTGTTTCCGGCAAATAATGGAAGACACCTCGAAAACAGAATCCTTCATTATGGATTGTGCGCAAGCTGAAATAGCAGCCGTCAAGTTAACGCACAGACAAGCGCACATTGTTTTGTGTTCTTTCCATGTTTGCCGAGCTTTCTGTCGGAAAGTAAGTTTTTCAAAGCATACTTTACATTTTATTCGTAGACAAGAAATCCCATTGTGAAGAACTACTTATGCCGTCTAGTGCAGTGTAAAAGGAGATCAGAGTAATGCCTCTATTGTTCTCATTTTGCAGATTTAATTTCTACTTCAGAGTTATTAGCAGATTGGATGCTAATGTCAGTCAATACCTACAACGTCGTTGGATGCATCGACGAGAATTGTGGGCGGCCTGTTTCAGAGATAACGTGCTGACTTTTGGGAACGATACAAATAATCGTGTCGAGAGTTCCCACAAGCAGATGAAACGGTTTTTGCAAAGATCTGATAGTCTGCATAAAAGTATGCTAAAGGTGTATAAATGGCATAAACGAAGTTTTTCAATAATACAGCAGGAGGCGAATATTGCTCAATCACGATGCTTCACGTATCCCTGTTCACAAAGTTTAATCCCAATTATACGGTTGCTTACACCATACGCCGCGAGAAAGGTAATACGTGAATACCAATTGCGACGATGGGCTACTGTTGAGTTCGATTCATTTGATTATGTATTTTTCAAAGAAAATGGGAATACAGTGCAGGTTGATCTGAGTGCTTGCACCTGCACGTGCTTTACATTTCAGACCTGTCGGTACCCCTGCCGACACTTGCTTTTGGTCCACTTCAGAAAGCCGTATTTCACAGGTATATTTGCGTTTTTATGACTACGTTTTTAATGTATAATGTAATGTAATAATCAGTTCATAGTTATCTTAACTTTTTTTGTTCCACCTTTTGTAGTTAACCATGTGATGCATAATTGTAAACAATGGACGTGGTCACGCAACTTGTTCGCATCTCAAAGTACGTCAGCAGTTATCCCTCGAAATCGAAGTAACATATACGATACCAAAAAGAAGATTATCAATGCGGGTATGGACAGAATTAATGACAAATTTGGAGAAGTGTTTGCCAATGCTTATGCAGACGGAGTAATCGCAGGAATCAATCGTGTTCTTAATATGTAAATAAACTAAATTTTTGTCATAATGAAAATAAAATTTTCATGTAAATTTTGTTGTCTTTCAATTCATGTGTTCACTTTGTGAGCACGGCATGCTAGACCGGTGCTCTCTAGGACTTTCACTACTAACAATACGTAAGTGTAATTGTGTAGGAACGATGTCGGTCAGCATACGTGTTAAATTATAAGTATTTCAGTTAGCTAACGTGCATAAGTATCATAGTCATATACAAGTCTTTAGGGACAATAGTAGGCATACCTTAGGCACTGCATTCGAGTCCCAGTTCTTATACGGTTACGTGTATTCGAAAGTATTGCATTACTAATGTTTCACTTAAAGCGTGATGTCAATCCATATGACTAAGGCTGTTGACATGTAGCGTAAATTCAAGTCTACACCAGACGAATTATTGAATTCGTTGAGCTTTAACAATCGTATTTAGATTTAGCTTACACTAAAATATGCCACCAATTACTTCGTCAGTTCTTATTAATAAGTCATGTCTGCACCTAGTCATCATGACAAATACATCTAAACTCAGATATAATAAGAAAGGTCTGGTAAGCAGGATATTAAATGTATTTAATGAAAAAATAATAACAAGCAAATGTGTTTACGCAGTCGATTGTCGGAATAATTTGTGCAATGTCGAATCTCTGTGACTGGGGTGATTGACGTTACCAGATATCTACAAATAAGTAAACAAAGTGTTTTTTAAATAGCTGAAGTAAGGAAGAAGTAATATTAAAGGTAAACGATTTATATCTGCCTACCTTTGCTGAAAATGGTTTATTCTCCTTTCTCATTCTTTGGTAATGACATCATTATTCTGGGGTTTTCACTGCCACACACATTATTCCTCTTCTAAAGGATAGCAGCAAGCATATAGTAATAATTTCAAATTTCGTTTAAACCAATGTTTACAATGAATGCATGTCATTTCTACAGGCGCAATAAGTTATGTTATAAACTGCAATCGTGAAGTATCATAAATTATAAGAGTTAAATTGTAAACCCTTAACAATGAACACCGTACATTTGGCTAAGTGCTATGTCGTTGGAATGTGAGTATACATTTGCAATGTTTAATGCCAACCATATTGGTGTAAGGATAGAAAATATGATGTTTTCTATGAAAATACAGCTTTGTTCCAACACTGCTGTTGTTGTGTTTCTAATAAAAGCAAATAGACTGTAAGCATAAAGGCATATCCAGTTAACATAAAATGCAGTGTAATAGTGCACAAATGAAAAGACCATAGTGAAGTAGATAAGTGATACTTCAGTGAGAGGTAAATTGAAAGATCTGCAACCTTATAATATGGAAGACAACCTGACATGTAAGATGTCTCACAAATTTCTATAGGGCCTGTGGGGTACCATGGATGGTTTGGCGTCAATCGCAGCTTTGGAATAATGAGTTACAAATGCTAAAGGTAACAACCAACGAAACTGCAGTAGTATTTTCTAGCTGTTCAGCATTTTTTCCTTTAATGCAGTTTCTTATCAACAGTTTGCAGTATTCAGAACATCACAAGTTGCTTACAGATAACTTGTCTAATAATAACTGCGTTAAATATATGAGCCATAAGTGCATCTTCTACATCTTTCATAGCCACAATTAAGTCATTAAGGATCTCACAATATCTTAGTGATGTGAAGCAAAATAATTTTAAAGATTGATATAACCTATGTAACAGGTGTAGTAGTTGTACGACACAGCCGCCAGCTACTAATCGACAGAAATCTGGTACTAATTTTAAGTACTCTGACATTTGAGAAGGACTATTTATACTATTCTTCCAGACACAATGAACACTGATGTCAATATACTCTGATGCCATTTCATGCACTGAGCAATTAAGGCCTTGTGAAATTCCATGTGCAAATGTCAATTAAACTATTTTCACATCTTCGCCCAAGCACTTTTAACTAGGAACTTCATCAAAATAGATATAATCAACAGGAAATTCAGCAGCCTGTCTCATTCATCGCATAATGTCGTCAATGTGTTATGGAATATTTCAGTCATCCCGGATGATAACAGAAAAGTTTAACATGTTCAAAGCACACATCTAACCTATGCCTGCATGCTATTTATCTTTCATAGGCCAGATTCTAATAGATTCACTGGAATGACAACAGCCATTGACTGCAGTATATTTACAACCTTAAGATCTGAAACAACTCGAAAAAAAACAAACCCTCAACGCACTATAATGCAAATAATAGTCTTTCTATGCGAACTTTCTTAAAAAGGATGACTTCTTCATTGATAATTCGTCCGAGCTATAATATACAATTTTACGCTCTACTAAGAACAAAATACAGCAAAATACTGCCATCCGGCTACAGAAGTCTAAAACTAGTCAAATATAATCTATTTCCAAAAAAATAGGTGATTATAACGTCTGTTGACGTGAGCGCGGTAACCGATGGCATTGCGCGATAACACCTGGTGTCGGCCTATATCCTCACTCTTTGTGGAGCTTTCATCTAGCTTGAATTGAGCGGGTACATAGCTAATTGTCATCATTTATAACAAGCTCAGCCAGACGATCCTTTTCTTGCTCCAGAAGAGCTACGTCAGCGTTTCTTTCTGGAAAAGAAGAGGAAGAAAATTTATTTAGTAGCATTTTAATGGCTTTTATCTCATTACACTTGCAGAGCGTCGCATTCCGATCACATGACGCGGACGCCAACATGACTTGTCACAAAATTAGAATTTCTATCAATCTGGCGAGTATGTAACAATTTCACTAAACATTGTTCACAAAAAAATGTAACAAGCGAAATTTCAACCAACTTGCCAGATAAGTCCAGTCTGCTGGCATGCAGCACCAGTAAGAATCACTGCTCAAGGTCAAAAATTGCTCTTACTTCGAATCATAATGTAGAGAGGTGAAGGAGGGAACTTTTCGCAGTTAGTCACCCGTGGCACCATCTTAGGACACCAATCCACACACGCCAGGCAGCCGACCGGAAATCACAGAAGCATACAAATTAAACTTAAGAAACCGCTTGAACCTTTATTTGAAAATTAACCTGCAATGCAACCAGTACAGAAGAGGAGCACGACATGGCATCCAAGCCTAGCCAGTGCGTGGCCATCGAAACACCTAAACATTCCATGTGCAGCTGACACGAATTTATCTAATTTTTAGTTGTTTCAGTTTGATCCACTCATGTTAGCCCTAAGTTTATTTTGTTGCTGTGGTAAGTGCACTGCAGTCTCAAGAAAGCAGCCAGATAGCTCGTGAAAGCTCCGCAGATAGGAAAGGTACTGAGGAATCACTCGGATACATTCCAGTTACTGTCGCTTTTCATGAGACACGCAGTTCAGAAGAGAGTGATGGACTTCAGCTTCGCAAACAGTCCTTCCACTTTCATGCTTATAAGGTCGTCCGGGACCTGCGGACACCAAAGGAGCTAGTGAGGCCTATATGGTTGGTTTTTCCAAGACATCAATTTGCTCCATGTATACTAGTAGTAGTAGTAATAATGTATATTTTAATATAAACATATAAATTTACATGAAAACCCATGCCACTTTTACAGGCACGATCAAGCACGATATAAACTCAAATCGTAGATTGTCTACAAGTTAATAATGTTTCAACAGCAAAATATTTCATATATATATATATAAATACACTAATTGTCTGAACCAGGCCGCATAGTTATTGAATTGTACAGTTATACCTTAGGTTGGGCGGGAAAATCGACTTCGTTTCGTTTTAATATATAACAATATATTTCTTCCTGTTTATGCAGGAACATACCAATTGTACAGGCATGGATAAGTTGTTATATAAATTACACAAAATTTGATGTATAATGGATTTACAGTTTGGTTGTTCTTTCTGACATCAAAGTCAGTCGGAACAGTCTGCTATAAAGTTTGTTTGTGTAGCACATCAAGAGATATAGAAATATTGTCTTCGCATTAACAAAAAACCCAGACATCAGATGAATGTAATACAAATATCTGGGAAAAATAAAGCTTGAAGTCAATTCTCCTACATAACTTTGTTGTGAACAGCACCCTTGGCTCAAAGTTTATTGATGTATTATGTTGAGATCAGTGATATATTTATTCCATTTTTTCAGTAGTCTTATCGTAGTTTTATAACAGGAAAGAAATTCGATCGTGGATACGAAAACTAGATAAGGTCATGTTGGGTTGTTTTACTGCATCAAGTGGTGCTGAGGTCGGTTCCAGAATTCTCCATTTGCTCCATTGTGTCTGCATGGAGGACTGTATTCGTAAGTTCAGAAAAATGTTGAAAACTGTTTGAAAACCAGTTGCTTCTTCATTTCAGATCATGAATACTCATTTACAGAATGTTCGCCAGCGTCTTCAAATGGTAGAATTGGATCGTTCATGGAATTTGGGTGGTTATGAGGTAGATGGTTTGGAATTAATCCTCATTTCAGTTTAGATGCAGGGTTGTTCGACCTCGACCAGAAGA